TTATCTATAAAAATATTGAGTTTAAAATCAATCTTGCTGTTATCATATGTGATGCACCAGCTAGAGCATTTGTAAAGTGAATTAAAGGACACAATGGTTATAACTGATGTGAATGTTGTGCTTAGAAAGGAGAGTGGTGTGGCAAGATAATTCTCCTACATATTTCACTAATTTAAAATGCTATTTTAAAAACATGTAAAGAAAAGCAGTGGCTTTTTACCTATATTTATTCTGAAATAAAATATTTTAAATTACAGAATTTTTTTTTTTCTAAATGTAAAATATTTTTACAATTTTTATAATCTACTTGTTGGCGACGTCTGATTTCGAAAGCTATCAACCCGGGTTAGTTTCTGGGTAGCTGGTCATAGGTCAACTCAAACTTTCATCCTTCAGGGTTTGTAAATAAGAACACATTTATTCGTTCACTTAATTTTTCGATAAGGGGTCCCGTAAATTGTGTTAAGCCTATATTCCATATTGTTCTAAATCTGGCCCTGGTTGCAAGCATGCGTGAGTGCGACTTAATTTGAAGTGCTCAAAATTGTGCACTTCATTATAATAACTAAATTTAACAAAAATGAATAAACTGCCGAGCGATGGATCAAGGAGTTTTTGTGTGACTAAAGACTCTGCCACTTCCGCCTACCCTCCCTCCAAGCTGTCATTAGGGCCCCAAAATCTTAAAAACCTATAATTATACACAGCCAATTACAAGCGTTATGTCTTTGAGCGCATGTTTATGAGCGACATAAACTTTATATAAATGAGTGACATAATCTTTTTTTATATAGCGAATTTTTTTTAATTTTGGTTTTGTAAAAATTAATGCTGCAGCTTATTTATTAAATTCGTGATGAATGGAGTATTTGGACCAAAAGTTGTTGTATTCAAACCTAGCACCCAATTTTTTTATAAATGAAATAACATCAATAAAACTGTATTAAACCAGCAATATATTTTTCTAAAGTCAAATAGATTATAATAGTAAAAAGCAAATTTCTTTTAATACAAATTTTATTTCTCAAACATACTACAAACACTCAAATAGGATATATTATATATACTTATAATTTATGAACCAATAATTTTTTATAAATATCTAATCTAAAAACAAGACATTTAAATAACTTTCGTTCAAAAATATCACTCTAATTCTAATATTCTTTTGCTTCTATCCAAAATTATGAAGTTGTGTGCTCTTGTTCATCTATTAAATTATTTTTTTGTCTGAATTTACACACAAGTTGCCCTACCTCTTTCAACCTATAATTTCTTTACTTCTATAAAAAATTCTCAACATTTTTTTTCATCATTTAGCAACCTTAAATTATATATTCTAAATAATTGTTCAGTTAAGTACAGCATAACAAATCACATCACAAACTAATGCATAAAATCATGAAATAATTTATCATTTTTTATTCATAGAATAATTTATTTTTTTATTCACCTTATATCACTAAACTTTACTACTAAAACTCATCTTTATGTCTTTTTATTTTGGAGAAATGTAATTACTGTTCGTAAAATGTTATGCTCATTGTGAACACTAATATTTATCGCTATTGTTTAATATTAAATTTAATATTTATCTATATTATTATTACTATTACTAGCTGGATTGACCCGTAAAAATACGGGTCTTTGTAATTCTATTCCACACAAACCTTTTCCCTTATTTTCTTAATCTAGCTGTCAATATCGGTAAATACAGGTCTTTTCTTCTACTTCTATATTTATTTATTCCACGCCAATCATTTCTTTACTTGTTCCTTATTTACTTCAATATTTTTTAGTAAACGGTGGAAAAAAATTCATCAAAAAAATTTACTTTGAGAGCAAAAAAAAACTTTAACATACGCACTTTTTCCGCATACGTATATAGCTTATTAAACCCCGTTTATTTATTTTTTTTTTAAAAATTCTGAACTAAGCTACTTCCTACATTTAGACCAGCCATGTACCATGGTTTACGGTCGCGTCCTAGCCACTTTCAATTGTTACTATTTACTATATTTATTATTATTATTATTATATGCTTAGTTTTGAATAATAACGGTCTTTTATAGTTACCTTTGTATTAGACGGAAACGGTAATGCAATTCTTTAAAACGTTAGTCGCTTAAAGCGTCAAAAGTCATGCAAAAAATTAAATTATAAATTTTGTGGTTTAAAAGTGGAAAAACTAATAATAATATAACAAAAAGTTTGGTAATTTTTAAATGTTATTATTCAGCTCTTACTTATGGTATTTATTTTGTTTTCATTTTACATTTTTAAAAAATGTTGAAGCGCCTAACTACATGCATAACTTTGATAGCTCACAAGTTAAGTGCGCTGTCATCAGATTCGCTGTGCAAGGCTTCAAATCCGCGCCTAAAAAATCTCAATACATTTTTTTTAATTTTTTTAATCTGGCTATATTTATAGCAAAAAATTAAATATAACAAAAAACCTTTTAATTGCTTTTTTTTTTCCCTGCCTCCACTGCAATACC